CAAATTCTGGACGTGTTTTTTTTTCAGCAATTGTATGTGAACCTTTTGAAAATTCGAAATACAAAAAGTGATCGCCGATTGTTAGATATTTGATCTAAAGAAACAAAAGTAAGATGATGCGTGAAGATTTAAAAGTGGCCGAATGGTAATACACTAAACCTTGGATGTTAGCTTTAACTTGATAAACATATCCGTTATGGCTGTGGTTATAAAAGTAAGATAATGTGTGAAGATTTAAAAGTGGCCGAATGGTAATACACTAAACCTTGGATGTTAGCTTTAACTTGATAAACATATCCGTTATGGCTGTGGTTATAAAGTAAGATAATGCGTGAAGATTTAAAAGTGGCCGAATGGTAATACACTAAACCTTGGATGTTAGCTTTAACTTGATAGACATATCCGTTATGGCTGTGGTTATAAAAGTAAGATAATGTGTGAAGATTTAAAAGTGGCCGAATGGTAATACACTAAACCTTGGATGTTAGCTTTAACTTGATAAACATATCCGTTATGGCTGTGGTTATAAAAATAAGATAATGTGTGAAGATTTAAAAGTGGCCGAATGGTAATACACTAAACCTTGGATGTTAGCTTTAAATTGATAAACATATCCGTTATAAAAAGACGTCCATGTATTTATACAACGTTTAACAAGCCTCAGGCAAGGCACTGTGGTTTGACCAAGTAGACTTTATCGCCTGAGTTGTCGATATTAATTCGATCACGATCGTACATTTTTGATCCTATTAAGTCCAAACACTGAAATCTTTAAACCTCTTATTGCTCAACTGAAATATTTATTTGCTACTAAAGACGTGACTTTAAAGTACAAAAGAATTAACCCGCAGTGCGCACGTTCTTCAGCTTCCCATTACTAATAAAGCTTGCAAGTGGAGATAAGAGGTTTCGGAGCTCTTACAAAACTCAACTAAAACATTTCTCAACAATTCCTTGCATTGTTTTTTTTTTTCAAAACGAAAAACGTACAACAAAAGAAAGAGGCTTTGTAACAGGGTCTGTGGCTACAAATATAAAGAGAAATGAATTTCGTATATTGCCGCCCTTAAAAGAAAACCATAATAATTCTAGTGAAAAAAGAAAAACAAATCAAGATCTATATAAAGTATTTTGAATTTTATAACTCTCGCCCTCACAAAGTCCAAGGTACGTTCTCTGAAAGCTTTAGAATTATATCATAGAAAATAGTCTTAGCAAAGTGAGTTGATTAGATAAATGTAACTTTTCTAAAAGGAAATACGTGTTATATAAATATATATAAATACTTGAGTGTGTATTCAGTATTATATTTTCGTATCAGACTGTTAAGTTACACTAGTAATATCCTAAGCAACCTTTGTGTTGTGTTCAATAGCATTTATTTTAATAATTCTAAAAATAACTGAATATATGTGCTGCTTTACATGATTCCGTAAAGTAGTATTATAGGTCTACATTTACCGTTTTTGTTGTTGTTTTTTTGGCATTAAACATGTGAAAAAGTTATACAGGCAACATCATAAAGCCCATGAAAACGATACAATACGTTTTAAGAGAATTGAATTGAATTCAAGTTTCCTTTCCAAGGCAACTAACAAATCTGTGTAGCTCACCAGTTTTGTATATCTTTCCTAACCGTAGATCATCCATTAATCAAGATATCGGAGGAAAGGGCTAGGTGTGTCCTTATTGCTTAGCGTTCCGAAACTGTGAATTCGAAGGCTCGTGTTTTTTTGTCCCGTTGTCACCAAAATTTTCTCCACACTTTTGGGGTGTGGGTGTGCTGTAAGGGTGACAGTTACAATATCTTCTACTATTCCACCATATAAGAATCGCCAGTGGGTGTTGTTGACTAGCTGCCTAACTAGAAGTCTATCAGCTCAAAATTAAGTACGGCTATGTAGCTTTACCAGAATATTCTGAAACAACCAAGAAATCTTTACTTACCTCCTATTATCATTATTATAAATTTGTACATCTCTAATCACGACTTACCTCCTATTATCATTGTTATATTATCAATGTATACATCTCTAATCACGACTTACCTCCTATTATCATTATTATAAATGTATACATCTCTGTGAAACGCTTTCACTACAAAAGAAACAAGGTGTTAAGTATAATAACACAATCTAATGATTAAGTAAGTATGTTAGAAAACAGTTTTATTATGGTACTTTTCAATATATATATCAATAGATATGGCGCAATTTTCTTCAACGTGGGAAGAGAACAGCCCAACTACGTTTCTTCCTATTTGTTGAATTTCTCCATAAGAGGGCGTACTCTTCGCCTCGTGTGTATATATGTGTGTGTTGAAGAAACAGTTTGTAAAGTCAAGACAGAACTACTTCAAACCCCAGTAATCGACTATCTGGCCTCACCGGCTACCGTAATAGAAAAGTAAAGGTCTTCTTTCACAGTATATCACACGAAGTATTATAAATAAGTCGTGTATAAAAAAAATATGGCCATTCAAATGACCAGTATTGATCGATAACGAATTAACAGCTCGTGTCAATGAGCGAAGTCAGTTTCCTTTGGTAGACTTTAAAGAACTATAGTTATCTATTGCGTGTATAACTGGCTCGTATCTGTTGAGGTTGCTACCGACCTGATCAATGCTTTATTATCGAGAAAATTGTCAATAGAATTCAATTTTACATAAAACTATATTTCCGAGATATTTGGTAAAACAAACCGATTTTCTTCATAACGCGAATATTTTATTCTCTTGGCCGTTTTTGATCTACAAATTTACGACTTTCTTGGGAAAATATTGAACGTTGGGTATTGTTAAACTGACCAATAGAAAGGTTTGTCGTCAGCGGAAGAATATTATTTGATATTAGTTTCTACTGGGTAAACAATACTGATTGTTCTCTACAGATCTGATCATCTCCTAATCAGTAAGTTGCTTTAATATCTAGACCTTAAACACTGTAGGCTTTTAGACACCGTTTAATTAGCTTACAGAACAGGGCCTCATTTCAGGTTATCCGTTTTGAAATTTACTGACTTATAGTTTAGTCCGGATAACGCAATCCTGTTGATAATGCGATATTTTTGGTTGGTACTGACAAGTGTTATCAGCTTCACATTAGGCCTACCTCAAACTGCTGCTGATGGCCAGATGGTCCCGAACGTGGCTTTTTATATCAGGCGGAAAGTTCTGTTGGAGGATGGGGGTCCCAATCGAACAATACGCATATTAGTCTTGGCTCCAGAAAGTCCCAAATATCCGTACTCCCTCTTCAAAGTGTTAGCAGCTGTAGAATTTGCTGTCCAGAAGTTGGAAGCGCAAGGCAGAAACGGTCCTCTCGGCGGACGTTCGGTAAAAATTTACGAAAAAAATACCCATTGTTCCTCAACTCTTGGTCCTTTAGCGGCATTCGATTCTTACATCACTGGCGAAGTTGATGTTTTTCTCGGACCACTCTGTCCTTACGTTCTTGGACCACTGTCCCGTTACACTGCTGTATGGGACATTCCGCTTTTAACCGCCGGAGGACAGAATGATAATTTCGATCAGAAGAAGCCGTATTACTCGCTTCTAACCCGAATGAACGGATCGTACACTCAGATTGGCCACATTTTTCTGAAAATTTTGCGTAGATTTCATTGGCACGTAATCGCACTGCTCTTTCATAATTTCTCGGATCACATTTTGGGAAACTCTAACTGTTACTTCACATTGAGTGCTGTCTACAGGAAGCTTAATAGAGAAGTATATTACCTGAACTTCGACGAAACTGATCCGAAGACAAACTACTCAAACATTCTTAAAGATGTGACCCAGCACGCAAGAGGTAAGCGAAACGGCATAAAGTAACGTGGCCAACTAGTTTGTAGGTAAAGAAGTAAGGAACTTTAGCATAAAGTAAGCATGCTCTAAGGCAGAAATTATACCCTGTGTTTCATCATTTTGTTTTAAAATATATTAAAAACAAAACAAAAATGTTTTTGCATTTATTTTTAAGCAAAGCTTAACAAAAGGCTATAGCGAAGCAGGTGAGTTAAAATTAGTAACACACCATGTTTGATATTAAGCTCTTAAAACAACATGTTTATAACGGTACAGATTCTGAATAACTGGTTTTGTAATTATAACATCTCTTAAAGTATATTCGTCATTTTTTTAACTTTGCACAAGTTTTAGATTGCATATTTGTAATGGTTTTGAATTCTCGGGTCTGTATATTGACCATCTCTTACATGAATTCTCGGGTCTGTAAATTGACCATCTCTTACATGAATTCTAGAGTCTGTATATTGACCATCTTTTACATGAATTCTCGGGTCTGTATATTGACCATCTCTTACATGAATTCTCGGGTCTGTTATATTGACCATCTCTAACAAGTATGTTCATACGTCTTTTAATGTACAAATTGTCCTCGACTGTGTTAACGCTTAAGCAGTAATAATCGAATCACTTTTCGACGTCCGTTTCTGGATGTATTTACCAATGTCGTTCAAATACAAAAAAGGAAAATGAATTATAAGTTACACCAATACTTTCTAAAGCCAGTTAATGTAACTTATTTGATAAAAGTTGATGTAACTTAGTTGATAAAACATTGAAATGGAAATAATGCAAGAAATTTTATGAATTATTTTTATATTATACTATTCATTGTATTTACCTTATATCTCAGTATACTGTATTGTTAACTTGTATTTTGGCATTTTAGGGATAATGAACTAACTAAATCTAGAACTGATTAGAAATGCCTTGATAAGGTTATCAGAATGTAAAATGAGCATCTCGGAAAAAGTTAATGGATGTCGGATCAAATTCTGCACTTTCTCTTCTAATAGGCATGACCAGAACAGTGCATATTAGGCTTGTAGCTAGTTGCCGTGGCTCTTCTGAATGTCCCAATCTCTTAAAGACCATTCATATGAAAATTTACTTTTTTGTAGTTTTGATTAAATATCAGATATGTTGTCGTTCTAGTTGTGTTTCTTGTTTTGTTTTCAGTAAAGAAACATAGTCTATCAGTGTAATGTATAATAGTTAGTATAACTGTTGTGTTATGTGATTAATCACGTTGAAAGAAGACTACAGCTTCTGTATGAAGTATTTTGACCATTTCCCTGCTCGTCTTTTAACTCCTCTTTTGTGATTAGAAAATAAATAAACTCCAATTAGCAGCGAGAGGATGAGCATGAAATCTAAACTACATACATGTATCCTAGCAATGGGTCGATCTAAGATTTCTTGAGTAAAGCCATCTTTATTATGTGTTTTCATCATTTTTATTTATAACATAAAATAACATTCCAGGAATATCTCTGCTTTACTATCCATCAACTGGTCCACAGCATTACTCAAGACACAGTTTTCATAGCAGTACTATGTAAAACAGTCAACTGGCACATGATGTCACACACGATACAGCTCTAATACCATTATTATGTCCAACCAACAACTAGTACATGATGTTACCCAAGATACAGCTCTAATACCATTATTATGTCCAACCATCAACTGGTCCACAGCATTACTCAAGACACAGTTTTCATAGCAGTACTATGTAAAACAGTCAACTGGCACATGATGTCACACACGATACAGCTCTAATACCATTATTATGTCCAACCATCAACTAGTACATGATGTTGCCCAAGATACAGCTCTAATACCGTTACTATGTCCAACCATCAACTAGTACATGATGTTGCCCAAGATACAGCTCTAATACCGTTACTATGTCCAACCATCAACTAGTACATGATGTTGCTTCATGTCGACCACTTTGCTCGTACATAATCAAATCTATATATTATCATTTCTATTTTATCAGTTTCAGGGGGATATCGCCAAACTCTACAGCGAAACATTATCACGTGACTTTTCTTAAAAGGCTACAGAATTAGTAATACCACATTTATAGTACATAACTATATAGTTTTTCTCATGCACTAAATTACACTAAATCTAAAATGTTTTTATTATGTTTAACTCTACTTTATTAACGGTTTCAAAACATCACGAAATCAGCTATAATTGTTTACCAACTGCATTCAGTTTGCTTTATCAATTAGAGAAAACAACAACAAAATAAACAACTAGAATATGTATTTTGTTTACCTTATTTTTTGTTTATCGCTAACTGACATTGACAACAACAACAACAAATTACTCTAAAACTAGAACATTTGTCTAATTCTATTTAGTTTTGCCTTATTGATGACAAACAATAATAATGAAGGTGTCCGACTGTCATGTTGATGAAGTAACTGAAACAAGGTAATTCTTGTTTTACTTAGTTTTGCCTTATTGATAACAAACAATAATAATGACGGTTTTCGATTGTTACATTGATGAACTAACTGAAACTAGACACTTCAATTACCTAGTTTTAGTTACTTCATCAACATAACAATCGAAAACCTTCATTATTATGTTTGTTATCAATAAGGCAAACTAAATAAAACAAGAAGTGTCTAGTTTCAGTTAGTTCATCAATGTAACAATCGAAAACCTTCATTATTATGTTTGTTATCAATAAGGCAAACTAAATAAAACAAGAAGTGTCTAGATTTAGTTACTTCATCAACATAACAATCGAAAACCTTCATTATTGTTCTTGTTTGTTATCAATAAGGCAAAACTAAATAAAACAAGAAGTGTCTAGTTTCAGTTAGTTCATCAATGTAACAATCGAAACCTTCATTATTATTGTTTGTTATCAATAAGGCAAACTAAATATAACAATAATTACCTAGTTTTAGTTACTTCATCAACATAACAATCGAAAACCTTCATTATTATGTTTGTTATCAATAAGGCAAACTAAATAAAACAAGAAGTGTCTAGTTTCAGTTACTTCATCAACATAACAATCGAAAACCTTTATTATTGTTCTTGTTTGTTATCAATAAGGCAAAACTAAATAAAACAACTTGTTTTATTTAGTTTGCCTTATTGATAACAAACATAATAATGAAGGTTTATTTGGATTGTTATGTTGATGAAGTAACTAAAACTAGGTAATTATTGTTATATTTAGTTTTGCCTTATTGATAACAAACATAATAATGTCAACTTTGACACTGTATCTCTTTTTAAGTTAGCAATTAAGTTGAAAGAAATGAACAGAAAATCTCTCAACAATATGTACTGTTAAACATATCTCTCAACAATACTAAATGTTGAGCTTATCTCTCAACAATACTAAATGTTGAGCTTATCTCTCAACAATACTAAATGTTGAACTTATCTTTCAACAATACTAAATGTTGAACTTATCTTTCAACAATACTAAATGTTGAGCTTATCTCTCAACAATACTAAATGTTGAACTTATCTTTCAACAATACTAAATGTTGAACTTATCTTTCAACAATACTAAATGTTGAGCTTATCTCTCAACAATACTAAATGTTGAACTTATCTCTCAACAATACTAAATGTTGAACTTATCTTTCAACAATACTAAATGTTGAACTTATCTTTCAACAATACTAAATGCTGAACTTATCTTTCAACAGTACTAAATGTTGAACTTATCTCTCAATAATACTAAATGTTGAACTTATCTTTCTACAATACTAAATCTTACGCAGATATAAGTAAGTGGAAAACTTATGCGTAATTGGATAAACGAATGGATAGAAAAACAATCAAAAGACAGAAAAAGAATGAACAGCCAATGACAGCCAGAAAAGATTTATATCCTATAGGTGAAAAAATAAACGAATAACAGACTGAAAAGTAGTCAGAAGAGTTCTAGGATGACAAATGAATTAGATATAAAAAAAAGACAGTTCTATGAGCTGAAGAAAATTTATAATATACAGCCATATAAGAGTGGGTGGAATGAAGAAATTATTAGATAAATTAATAATAAACAGAAAATCTGATTTATCGACGAGTGAGTTGAAAGGCCAAACTAGTACAAATACACGCTATAAATCACTCAAGGAACTGACAACTAGATTTTGGAACGAACATATATCCATATCGATGTGTAAATAAATAGATGAAACAAACAAACTGACTAAGAGATGGAAAATGTCGGGCAAAGGAACAAAAATATGTATGAAATGACAGTGGAATAAATGACTGTTTGTCAATTTGATATTTTTCCTTGTACAAAAATATTTAAGCTACTCTTAATAAAATAAATCATATTCATGCGAAGTTATACAAAATCAAAGCAATTGTTCCTAATACTGCAGTCAGTATCGTGTATCTATCTTAAAATACGTAAGGACCTCTCTATTCTATCATAAGTCAAGGAAACATATGTGATGGCAATAAGAAAAAAGAGGGAATCCTCAATAGCCACGGCATTTGAAATTCTTTTAAGCAGGATCAGAGAAAATTAATGTATTAGGCATTTTTTTCCACTTTTTTTTTTATCAGCTATATTTTTGTGCGCCAGCAATATTAAGCGTGGGGTGCGTGTATGCCCGATTTGATTTTATTACTCATCAGGATCTCTACCAGCCTACCCTAAAATTGAAATTCGTTTATACAGGATTAGAGTAAATTAATTAATCTATGAGACCTTGGGCGTGATAAAATACACCAATCGAAAGGATTTAACCTCCTGAGTCGAAAACAGTAATTAGATCTCAAATCGGTCAAGAGATGACATAGCTATGAGTTAAACATTTGTACTTGAAATAAAAATAACAAAAAACTCAAAACCGTTCTCTGAGCCGCTATGCCGCGGCTAAAAACCTAATGAACTCTTTGTATATCAGATTTTGCCTCTGCTCTTACTTGGCCAGGTATGGCCAGGTAATTAGGGAGCGTGACTCGCAATCTGCAGGTTGCGGGTTCGAATCCCCG